GGGGGGTGTCTAGGGGCTGGCAAAGAGATGTGGGACAGGGAAAGGGGGGCAGCCTTGGCCTTTCATGGGGGCTGCATGGGACTTGAGGGAAATACAGGGTGGGGAGCTGTGCCCTGGCCAGCGCCTGGGGCTCGTGTGCCCTTGGCCTGGGGGTTGATTCAGCCCCTGCATGCCCACCAAGCTCCCTCTCTGCTCCTAGAAACCGTCCCGAGGGCAAAGTGCTGGAGACCGTGGGGGTGTTTGAGGCACCGAAGCAGCATGGCAAATACGAGACGGGTCAGGTAGGTGGTTCTGGGCAGCGGAGCTGGCCCCGTGGGTTTGTTCCCCAGAGATGGAGTAGCCGAGCAGTTTTCCCGTAAGGAGGCTGCTGCGTTGTAGCAGAAACCCAGAAGTTTCACAGTTCAGAGCTCCTTGTTTCTGCTGTGTCTGCAGTTTGTCAGTCATCTGACAGTAGCAAGTTGATAAGGATCTGCAGCTCCTGCAGTGGTATTTGCTCCGCTGGGTTTATTTCAGGGTTTTCCCTCTAAGAGCAGAAGAGACAATCGCTGAATTTGAGAAATAACAACTAGTCATTTCTGTGCCCACGACTCACAGATCTGTTTCTGTGTTCCTGAGCAGGCTGTCCTGTGCTGGTATCATTTCTTCTGCCACTCTGTTACTTCATTACTGCTTTAGTAATTTGTTTTTATGGGACAGGGACGACATTAATTTTTTCTCTCATCCCAGACTCTTTGTGTTCTCTCTTTGCTTCTGCTCTGGGCTCACACAGTGGTGATTCTCTCTGCATTCCCATCCCACACGTTCATACTCATTGTAAACGTTTCCAGTTTTACCTTTGTTAACATACTTTTAAAAATACTATCAGAAAAGGGCTTTTGGCTTTGTGTTTTGTGTTGTATCTAATTTGATTAAAGCTTGCTGCGGATTCATATGCAATTATTTCTTCCTTTCAGCTATTTCTTCACAGTGTGTTTGGCTACCGAGGAATAGTCCTGTTTCCCTGGCAAGCCAGGCTTTACGATCGAGATGTGGCTTCTCCTGTCACAGAAAAGTAAGGATTTGTTCTGGTTTATGTGTCGTTGTCTGTTACCTTGACATTTTGTAGCGAGTTTCCTGATTGGGGCAAACAAGGCTTTTTGAGGAGATTGGGGGTACGAGTGTGTTTTGCATGAATGTAAACCAGGAGAGATGTTGCACGAGTATTAATTTTGTGTTAACTAGAGACAGGATGGAAGCATGAAAGGTGAGAGTGTGTGTGAAAGGAAAAAAAACAACCAAAACCAAACAAACCATCCTGCTGACGTTCTTTGTTTTTACAAAAAAAAATAACTTGATCTTAATTTTGAGCTTAGGTCTGGGCTCCTGTGTAAGTTTAATTTGGATGGGATCGAATGATTACAGGCTGTGAAATGTATTTTTAAAACAGTTATTATTTATGAGAGGGTTTGGTTTGGTCCTGTAGCTTGAGCGCAGCGCTCTGCTTTTCTTCTCAGAAGCGAGAACGCAGCAGGCCACGGTTCCAAAGAGGTCAAGGGCAAAACGCATACTTACTACCAGGTGCTAATAGATGCCCGGGATTGTCCTCATATAGTAAGTAACCAGTAATGTTCTTTTGTAACTCAGATATCCTCTCCTGTACGAGTGCTGTAGATGGACAGGCTCTGAAAGGAAACGGCTATGATGGCTAACTTGGTGGTTTAGAATTTTAGGACAAAGTCATTCTTCAAGTGATATTTTCTCTGACAAAGATAATGTGGGATGTCACAATGGTTTTCCAGTTTCCAACCTCACTTCCTCATCCTGCTGGCATTC